AAAACGCACGGGTCGAACCAGCGTTATAACATCAAAACGCAGAGGACATCCTTGTGATATAACATCAAAACGCAGAGTTCATGCAGAGCTCAACTCTGCATCCCAGGTCCAAAACGCAAAGTTCATCTCTGTGCGGCCTAACTGTGTGTTTTCAGCCTAAAATAGGCTCAGCTGTGCGTTTACAGGCTCAACTATGCGTTTTAGCCTAAAACAGGCTCAGCTGTGCGTTTACAGGCTCAGCTGTGCGTTTACAGGCTCAGCTGTGCGTTTTCAGCCTAAAACAGGCTCAGCTGTGCGTTTACAGGCCCAACTGTGCGTTTTCAGCCTAAAACAGGCTCAGCTGTGCGTTTTCAGGCCCAACTGTGCGTTTTCAGCCTAAAACAGGCTCAGCTGTGCGTTTACAGGCCCAACGCACAGTTCAGGCCCAGAACGTTGTTTTCAGCGTTTGACTCGTTCAAGCACGATTTGAACGGTTTCAGAACCGTTTTCTCCCTAAGATTTTAGGGGATCACTACCCTATCATGGAGAGATTTATGGGGGGGCGGTTACACCCCACTCAGCCCATTGAGAAGCATATTAAGGGGGCGGTTACACCCCCTTAATCCCCTATAAATACCTCGAAACTCAATTGAGTTCGGATCCTTCTTTTTGGTCAGCAAAGAAGAGATATTCGGCTGGCTGGAGCTGGCTCTTTGGGGATCCTTGATCGGGCATCTTGGAGCTTTCTGCAGCAACAAAGTCCTTGGAGCTTTCATCCCTGGCTTATTAATCGATTTTCGGTTCAAATCAACTCTGTTACAGAGTTTAAACTCGTTCTGAGTTTCTAAACTCGATCTGAGTTATCAACTCGTCCAGAGTTTCAAACTTGCTTTGCAAGTACTCCACAACGTCATATCGTGAGGAGAAGACCACGTTCCAGTGAAACAAGACGTTCGGATCGTCAACGGAGAGCAAACTCGACGCGAGCATTCGAGGGAGGCACTCCATCGCCACCGTGAAGAACCCAGAATTAAACAAAGGGGAGAATCAAATTCATTCTCCTCTCTTTTGTAATCGGAATCCAAATTGTAATCGATTTTGAGAGAATACAAGTCAATTTTTCTTTCATTGTCTTTTTACATCAAATTTTCCACAAACACTAATGTTTTGACGAAGGAGAACATGGTGATAAAAATACACGAGCCAAAATTTGATATATTATATTTTTATTACTTTATAGATTTTATTATCAATTAAACGTGGAGAATGAAAACCGCTGAGAATCGTTTATCATAATTAGACAACAAATACCATAGTCATCTCGCCAAAACAAACTCATTAATAACCAAAAACAACTATATGTCCAAGTTTTTTTTTTGAGAAAACTATATGTCCAAATTATGAAATGGTTATTTGTGAATATTCATCAAGGTCAATCAAAATCCAGAGAAGTAGCTACTAACGAGATAACAAATAGATAGCAAGAAAAATAAAAAAGGGCATTCATTGTCCTTATTTATCCAATCAACAAAATTGGGGATCCTGTATGATTTTATTTGATTAATATTATTATTCTTATGATCAATTGTTTTAGTTTAGATTCCTAATTTTTAATAATTAATTCATTAATTGCTACGAAAACTAATAAACGATTCCAAAGGTCGTCTTCTTTTTTCACAACTTAAACAACTATATGTTTAAGTTGTGAAATAGTTACTTATGAACATTCATCAAGGTCGATCAAAATTAGGAGACATAGCTACTATCAAGATGACAAATAAATAGCAAGAAAAATATAAAACAGTTTCATCCTCTTCTTTTTTTTTTAACTAGGTTTTATACACGTGCAATGAACGTGGTTAAATATCATGATTAAGTATTTTTAGATTACTATCTAACTAAAATTTGTTCCTCAGTTCCACTTTAATAGTTTATGCTCACTTTAAATTTTCATGTTGATATTTGAATTGGTAAAAAGTAAATATAATTTGAAGCTAATTTAAAATTTTATATTATTTTGACTGACATGAAACCAAGTTTTACTTGAGAAAGTACAATGTTGCAAAAGTTAAAAATATTTAAATAATGTTATACAAGGAAGATGAATATTTAAAACCAATAAGGTAAAATGATTGGTTAAAAGTATGCTAAAATGATACAAAAGAGAATATAAAGTTTGTTCCTAATCATTGATAGGCTTTATAAAAATTATAAATTAAAGATTAATGCTAACTCTAGTATATTTTCATATGATAAAACCATCTGCACAAGCATATAAGAGTACTGAAAAAGCTCTTGAAACTTATTTCTGAAGATTCCTAAATTCACTCAAAATAATTAAATTATTCTATAAAATATTTAGAAATTATTATATTTTATTCCTTTTGTTTTATTTTTTATTAAGCTAAGATCAATCCTTCCTCACCTTTATCCTTTTCTCGGGCAATTCTAGAGTAGTGTCTTGATCATCTACTCGATTGTGATATCAGGCTAGAGTTGTATTTTTTGTGATGTTATCTTTCGTGGGCTCGTTAATATTTTATCTTGTCATTTAACTTCACAAAGAAGTTAAATGTATTTCCGATGTTCAACACAAACTTCTTAAAATACAGACTTTGGTTTTTTTTATTTCAATGAGAATAAATATTAATCTTATATATATGGAATTCTTTTGTGTTTCTAATTTATTACTTAAATAAGATTAAGAGTTACCTCTTTTTTCTCTACAATGAATTCTTCTGATGTGCATCCAATAAGAGTTTTTGCTATGTTAATAATATTACATTTTCTCTATCCCTGTTATTTTCCACAAAGGTCTAAACTAAATACCTGTATTTTTATTGCCAATTTGCCTTAGATTATAATATTAATATTTAATTTCTTTAGTATTTGAAGAACAAAGTATAAATTACTATTTTTTATATCTTCCATAGAGAATTCTTCTTTGATTGAGATAAAATTATTAAATTATTCTTTAATGTAACTCAATTGCTATTTCTTTAATAGACATGCCTTATGTTAATGCCAATTCAAATAATTTATGAACGTTTTCTGAATTTTAGATTTATTTTCGTTAATTTCCCATTTGCAATGAAAATAACTTGATTCTTTTGAAGGATATCTCTGAATATTCTAATAGTTTCTCCATACGTAATTTATTATACTCTTTTACCCTATAAATATTATTAACATCAGAGATTAATATTTTTAGATTATAATTAATTAATGCTAAGCTATTATATTATAGCATTTTATTATTTTTATGGATTTAAACATCTATCAATTAATGTTACCAATGTGTTTTGCTGGACCAACTTATTAATAAAATTTTATACAGTTGCTTTAATTTATATGGTAACAATAATTTTTAAGCTATAATTTTTTTTTAAACTTTACTCCCTAACCGGATATTTTTAATCAATTCTTATTGCTTTTGTTTACCAGTATCAACTTAACTATCTTTAGATGCTGAACAGGGATAGTAATACCTAAATTGGAAATTAAATATATATATCTTAATGAAAGAATACCTAACAATTATACTTTTCTTTGCCAAGTTTCAAAATTTTAGTTTTTTTTATGGTTTTGAATTTTAAGGGTGTGATTTGTAATTTTTAAAACTTTAGGAGTATTTTTTAAAAATTACTTTTAAGTTTGGTAGTTGTAACTTCTATGTTTCATGTATCGATGGTAATTTTTAAATGTCACGATATTTCTTACAACTCTGATATTTTGAGGTTGCTTTTTGCAATTGTTAAAATTATAGATTAATTTTTGAAAAATTCAAATTTTAGCGGTCTACCAATAGTTTTCAGATTTGATGTGTACTGGTCATAAATTTAAAAAATTTAGAGTTTTTTTTATGATTTTTAAATTTTAAAAGAGTTTTTTCTACAACTTTGTAACTTTGAGGTTAATTTCGGCAAATTCTAAAATTTTAGGTGTATGAGGGTAATCTCTTGAATTCATATTTTGTTGTTTACAAATTTTAAAATTTAAAAAATGTTAGGGTTGTTTTTATATAATTTCAGCTTTTGAGGGTATTTCTATAATTTTTGGGATATTGAGGGTTTTAATTAAAAAATTTAAATTCTTTGGAGGCTACTGTTAATTTATTGATTTCATGTTTGTTGTTTTAAGTTTTAAAATGTCAGAAATTTTCAGGTGCATTATGGTAATCCATTGAATTCATTTATATTGTTTGCAAGTTTTAAAATTTTAGAATTTCAGGTGCTTGTTTGTAATTTAAACTTTTGAGGGTATTTCTATAATTTTTGAGATATTAATATTTTAACTACAAATTTTAAATTCTTCGTAAACTGTTGCTAATTTCTTGTTTTCATGTTTGTTGTTTTAAGTTTTTAGACGTCGGGATAGTTTTTATAATTTTAAACTTTTCAGGGCATTTTGTGCAATTTTAAAACTTTTAGGTTTTTTTACAATACTTTATGTATTATAGTACGTTAGCTACGTATAATTTATTTATCTTAATAAACTAATACCATGAAGATGTTTTATATATTTTATTAATATTTTTTTAAAATTGTTAAGCTATAGATAATTCACGTAGGATTAGGATAGGATATAATTATGATTATGATAGATTGAAATATAAATAAAATATTTAAAATAGTGAAGGGTAATATTGAGCATAGAAAGATTTTACCGAACTCGTGATTTTAAAGGGAGTATGATATGATAATCCAATTAGCAAAATTCGAGGTTCTATATGATTTAATTTCATTAATATTATTTTTTATGTTCAGTTGTAATTTGTAAACAATATAGACTCCTTGTCTTATTTATTTATTTTATTATTAATCTTATTTGCAAAATTCGAGGTTCTATATGATTTAATTTGATTATTAATAATTAGCTACGACAAAAACTAATGAAAGGGCAATAACGTCCTGAGTTCTAGCTTTGGGCCATTACTGGGCCCCCACTTGTTGGCAATTTGCCCAAATCACAAACCACTTAAAAAAAGCCCTCTAGGGTGACATCAAATTAGGGCCCAAGAAACTATCAAACCCACTGAGAAAGAACCCCGAGCTGAGAAATGCCAGAAACGCCCGCCGGCGATTCGGTCGCCGATAACAAAAGCGCCGCCGATCGCCGACCTCCTCCGAAGCCCGCCATCATCGCCGATCTCAACGTCGATCCTCCTGAGAGCGACGGCGAAGATTGTGCCCTACTCCCTCTTCGTGTGCCTGGCTCTTCTTCTGCAAGGTTTGACCTAGTTTTGTTCCTTTGAAAATTTATCTCAAAAATGCTTCGTTTGGAATTAGGTGGTATTAAATATTTTTAATTATTATAAATGGTAACTAGTTGCAAATTGCAGGTGCTGAGGTCTTTCCCCCCAAAGTTTAAGTAAATTGCTACATTTTTATTTCAGCGTCGGTTAATTTGCGATATTTATTTTTAAATTGCTATATTTTGGGGGCGAGTTAGCTATATTTGAGGCTAAGCTAATACAGTTTCTGTATATCGTCGTTAATGTTTTGCAATAGTTTTGGCTAATTTTCTAATTTATGTTTAAAGTTGCTACATTTTGCGGGTAAGTTAATATAGTTTCTTTAAATATATTATAAATAACCGCTGAAATAAAGCAATTGAGTTTTAAATATTCAGTATGATATATTGGTTTTAGATTGGATGGGTTTGAAAATAAAATCATGTTAAGCGTTCAACTTTTAGTATTTGGAATGTCTTTAGCCTATAGTGAATATCTTAATTTCTTAATGGGAAACTTTTGTGCAAATTTTAGTATCCTATTGCTTTTTTTCTTTCCCTCCAGTCTAGTCATATTGATAAATTTGCATTTGAGACTACGCATGACACACGATTCATCATGTTGTAGGCTGATAAGTGTATATATATTATCACATTGATGACCACTACTTGCCTTCAGTTCTAAAGCCATGTTACAGTAGTGGTTATATTACAGTTTTCAGTTTCTGCAATCAAAGTCCCTATGGGCATGCAGGGTGTAGTGGGGATTTATATTCAGGTCACTTGAATAGCAGCAAAATGATTTTACCTCAAAATTTTATGATGATGCAGGAATTCGTTTAAAAAACTCTATTAATATGCAGGAATGGCAATGATGAAAGTAGTCTACCCAAAAATACTATTGCACCTAAAGATTCTGACGCCATTGATGCTGACGGTAACGGACTATATATTATATTTTTCCAAAAAGATTAAGATGAATGTTTAATTAATTGTGCAAAATGCTACAGATCTTGATCAGCAATGTCAAGGAGTTTCCATGTCCCGTGAGGAAAAAGTTAGCAATCTGAAAGCTGTGAGTCTTCAATCATGAAAATTTTATGCCCTACCACCGGTTGTTATTCCTTTCTATTTCACAAGCATGAGAATTTTATGCCCTAGCATATGGATAATGGACTAATTCATGAATTTTTTTCTTAAAGAGCATCATGGCATGCCAGTTCCACACAATCCTAGAAGTTATAACTTGCTTGAGATATTTATTTACAATAATAGTACGTGAGATTACTGTTCCGTTTTTGTAGGGTTTGGTAAACATTGCGCGAAAGATGCCGAAGAATGCCCATGCACATTTTATACTTGGCTTAATGTATCAGAGATTAGGTCAACCACAGAAGGCAAATATTAAATCTCATCCTATCGTCGAGTTTAATAATTTTCACTGTCATTCGAGTATCATTTTTCATAAAAATTCTTTGTAGGCAGTCTTAGCATTTGAAAAATCAGCTGAGATATTGCAAAGGGACGAAGAAGAAATTCGTAGACCAGAATTGCTCTCTTTAGTTCTCATACACCATGCACAGGTGTGTGACATTGTTTATAAGCACATGATGCTTATGTCTTATGTAGTTTGATGGATTACAAATATAACTATTCTTAACATCCACCATTTGAAAATGCAGTGTATTCTTCAAATAAATACTGGGGATACATCTGATAAAGAGCTTGAAACGTGTGAATTAGAAGAAATCCTTAAAAACCTGAAGGATTCTGTGCAATTAGATGTCAAACAGGCATCAGTTTGGAACACACTTGGTTTGGTACTTCTTAGGACTGGCCGTGTGCAGGTTCAGTTGATGTTTTTCTTTCTTCAATTCTTAATTTCTCGGCCATTCAACAATGTTGAATAGGCACTACTTTGTTATGCCTTGCGCTGATTTTGTCACGTCACTTCAGAGTGCAATTTCAGTTTTATCATCTTTGTTGGATATTGTTCCCGGCTACCTGGACTCCCTTGCAAATCTTGGCATTGCACATCTTCAGAGGTTTATACTTACTTTCCTCTCAAGTGCTTTGGTTTTATATGTGCTTACATTTTTTTCCCCATGCCCTGTGGCTTATATGTTCCTTATTCTTAATTTTTATGCTCTTCTAGAATTGTATTTATCACTTTTCTTTTGCAGTTTGCTTCGCGTTTACTACAACTGTTCCGTTGTTGAAATATTTGTAATTAGGCTTCATGACTTTACAATTAGGAACTGCAAAATTCATTTGCTTTTCACCTTCATGCATACCAAAAATTTCTGTAGTTGGATAAAAATGTCCGGCATTCTATTCCCGTTCGTTGCAATATTACTTATATTTGTTGTGACACTTGTCACTTTTAACTTTCTTATTAAGATGTTAAAAATCAGTTGGTTTCTGTTGCTAGGATGTTGTGTAATTTAAATTGCTATTGGGTTCAATTTACTTCTGCATATCCTATCTTCTTTGTTTTTGTGGCAATTATGTGTGTTCAAGGTGACGGGGCATATTTATTGATGGGTGGGTTGGGGGGGAGGGGGTTGGAGGGTGGTGGTTTGGAGGTTGCTCTTGTCACATGTAGTGTCTATGAACTTCAAAGTTATTATTTTCTTAGCTCATTTTACTACTCAAACTTGCTCTTTACAACATTTAAAATTTTGTGTTTTGTTTAAATCTTTTGGAAAAAAATAAGATGTCTTTATGTATATGCTTCCAACTTGTCTGCCAATGTTAACTGTAGTCGTAATATCTTTGTCATTGTTGATCTCTTAACAATTGTGGAATCACTTTATGTTTGTTAGACAACTTGTCAATTGAAAATGGTTTCCAAATCTCTGCTATTATAACTTACACAATTAAATACAGTGTATTTATTTAGATTAACAAAGGTCAGTGGTTGAACAGTGTCTTTATTATATCTTCCATTGGTCTTTTCTTTCTGATTTTTTGTGTGAATGATCTGATGACTATATACTTTCAGTGGCAATCTTGAGCTTTCAGCTAAATGTTTTCAAGATCTGCTTCTGAAAGATCAAAACCATCCTGCTGCTCTGATCAACTATGCTGCTGTCATCTTATGCAAATATGGATCTGTTGTTCCAGGTATGACCCTAATATATGGAGTTAAAACGCCATTGTAGTGTTAGTATTGTAAATTTGCTGAATTTTGTTGTTTATAATCTCATCATTTTTACCATGGGTTCTCGTGTCCTCATCTTAGGACAGTACAAGTTTATAGCTTGTCCCTTTGCATTTCAATCACATTATATTTTTTTCTTAATTGTCTCATACTGCACTTCCTTTATATCCATTGAGAAATTAACTTACATTTGTTAATGCTCCTTGTCTTTATGCAAACTTTTATTTCCTGAAACATGTAAGATGTCCCATATTTTGTAGGATCCTGTTTTTGCTTATGTATACCAAGTGTAGGATCGTGACCCTTAAGAATAGAGTGCGCTCTTATAAAAATCTACGGAAGCTTTACACTTAAACACTAGAGGGTGAGTTTGCAAAGTAGATTATAAATTGCAAAGAAAGAATACCAATCTCAGAAAATAAACATCACAAACACAAGCATGTATACTGGTTCAATCTTCCCGGTGTACATCCAGTCCCCAAGCAAATCCCGCTTGAGAGTTGTCATTATGATTTTGAAACCTTACAAAATCAAAAGTAAACCGGACCAATTTGCAAGACCATGCAAATTGTAACCCAATTGACAAGACCATGTCAATCGTCACACCGATCTCTAGACCAAGAGACCAACCCTCTCAAACCTGAGAGAACCTTCCTTGAATCAATGTACAATTCCAATCCTATAAGCCTTGATGTGGATGTGAACGTGTAACAGTGGCTTATCAATCTTTTTAACACTCTGAATATTGCCTAAACAAGCTCTAAGAATGATAGGAATAAAGTCAATATTAGAAACTATCTTTTATGGAAAAACAGATAAAAAAACTGAAAGTTTAGAGTTAATTTACACAATATATGAATCTTACAAGTGCAAAACTTGGTGCTTATTTTCTGATGTTTAAACCTATTTATAGCCTCTGAAATGATATACTTTTAAATCTAATTAACATCCACAAAACGACTATAAACAGTCACTTATTCAAAACCTAAAATCTGAAAAAACTGCATCTGTAGTCGACTACAAGTCATAGTAATCGACTACACTGAGTCTAAACAGACTCTGTGAAGTCAGAAAATTGCTTAGTAGTCGACTACAAGGCATAGTAATCGACTACATTGTAAACTCACAGATTCTGAAATTTTCTTTTTAGTATTTTGACTGTAACTTTCTCGTCCGATATCGGAATAAGGTGATTTAAGCAATGTTACATTAAACGCTGGGCGCTTCTAGGCGTTAAACTTGGCGCCCAACGCTTAGTCGTCTAGGTGGGCGCCTAAGCGGTTTTTGGGTGTTTTTTTTTTCTTTCTTCATTTAAGTGGTGGTCGATGAGGTTTTGCTGAAGGTCGGAGGAGGTAGTGGAGGTGGTCGATGAGGTTTTGCTGAAGGTCGGAGGAGGTAGTGGAGATGTTCATATTTGGAGGTTAATGGAGTTTGGAGGACGTGTAGGCTACGACACATAAAATCACAATCAAGACCTACATGGTACAATCCACGTAAGCAGACAATGCTTTCCTAAACGCTCGTAAAATCTAGGTGGACAGCCTAAATACCGCCTAGACGCTAGGCGTTAGTTAGGCGATCTAGGTACCGCCTAGACGCTAGGCGCTAGTTAGGCGGCCTAGATACCGTCTAGACCTAGACGTACGTCTAAGCGGATTAGGCGGAGGTTTTTTAAAACAGTGGATTTAAGATTTGTTGGAAAGCTCTTGAAGAGACTTACAATTTTGATCTTTTGAGTTTTTTCAGATTCTAATTGCTAAGGGGTATAAATAAAATATTTTAACTCACTTAATATTTATAAACTCTAATGGCTAACATAGGGGATTTTTATTGTTAACCAACACATTAAGCATGTGTTAGTGTGTTCTAACACTATGTGTGTGCATGTGTGTGATTGATCAAGGCTTGTACAAATTTCTAAGCAAAGAAAATGTAAAATTACATTTTGACGATAAAATATATCTTCTTCTTTGTTTCATTTTACCTTGAACTCATCTATGTCTTGAGTATCTCTTTGAATATAATTGTTGATATAGCTCTGATAGTATCTCTTTGAATATAATTGTTGATATAGCTCTGATACTGCAAAACAAATGTTAGCACATAATACATACAACATATAATATTTGTTATCATCAAAATAAACTAATCTTGAGGTCAAGATTTCTAATATTCTTCCCCTTTTTGATGATGACAAATATAAGTTATTAAGATATAAAAATTTTAACCCCCCTGCATAAAATCATTAAATAAAATCTTTTACTCCCTCTGCATCAAAGCATTAGTAAAAAAATTAAAATTTTCTATATAACTCCCCCTTTGTTATTAGCAAAAAGAAATAAACATAAATCTAGTTAAAATTTTCTTTTCCTGGGTACCTTAATAAAAATATTAAGCACTTTGGTACCATTTTATATTATATCATTAGGATCAAGGTTGCTGATAGCGGATCGCGTCGCGTCGCGGCGAGGTACCGCTAAGGCTATTGCGGGCTATTGCGCTGATAGCGGATCGCGTCGCGTCGCGGCGAGGTACCGCTAAGGCTATTGCGGGCTATTGCGGCGAAATAACGGCAAATAGCGCAGTCAAATATCGGTCAAATATAAATATATTTAAATATGCTAAATAATAAGAAAAATCATATAAAAATCTAACAATCATGAAAATTAACGTCATACTTTTACCGTGCTAACCAAACAGCCCCACGCGAATTTTACCCTAAAAGTAGCGGGATATAGAACTTGGGCACAAAAAACCCAATTTACTAAACAAATCTCCTGCAGTTAAAAACTTAAAAAATTCAATTTTGGAATAGTAACTTAAAAAATCTCCCGCAGTTAATAAACAAATCTCCCGCAGTTAAAAACTTAAAAAAATTAATTTTGGAACAGTAACTCAACCTTTTCCATCTTTATTTATTTACCCCTAGGGCCATTCTTTTATCTCCTTCCGAGGTCTGACACACTCCCACTTAGCCAGGCCCATCTCCTCACATGCTCTCTCTCTCTCCCCAGTTCATTCGAATTCCCAGAACACCACCAGCGACAAAACCCACCTTCTTCACTCTGCTCCTCCGTCAAACCCCACGCTCAGCGACAATGAGTCTCCCCCTTCCCCCTCCCCCCTCTCCTAACCCTCACCGTCGACGCCACCACCCTCGCTCTCTACAACAAATGCCCAGAGACGATCACAGTGAATGAGTGATGAGGAAGTGAGAGATAGGCAGAGATCGAGAGGCACGGAGTCGACGCTGGAAGTCATCACCGGCGACGGTATTGACGGCGCTGAAAGTCGTCGCCGGAGGACAGAGATCGAGAGGCACGAAGTCGAGAGAGAGGCGGCTAGGGCAGATTTTTGTTCGGGAATAAGAGGTGAGAGGGTTTAAGTGTAATGAGTTACGGGTACAGGTTGGGTTCGGGTCGGGTTCCTCGTTATAAACTGTAGCGGAAATTAACGCTTTTCACCGATTTTCACCGCTTATTTGCGCTATCGCCCGCTAATCTAGCAAATAGCGGTTTTCTCCGCTTAATCACGCCGCGAACCCCTTAAGCGTTGCGCTGACCCCCTGCGACCGCGAATAGCGGCGCTATAACGCCGCTATTTACAACACCGATTAGGATTAGCCCTTAGGAATCCAAATCCATTTGGAATTTGGTTTCCATTTATTTACATAAGTGTAATTCTTTGAATTGCAAACTTCATACATATAAGATGAAATATAATCATTCCTATCATGAATATTCAAATTCTTAGGAATTCATATATATTTATTTTGTTTAGCATGAATATTCTTATTATTATTCTTCAAAACATAATCATTCTTTGTAAAATACTTAGGAACAAATCCAATGCCAAAATGATTGTTTGAAGATTTTTGAAATGAGAGCAAATTATTCAAATTCTCTTTACTTTTATTGAATTTACTAACATTCAAACATATATCATCATATTTTAATTTAATAGAAGAAATATCTTTATCTAAAACATTAATGCGATTTTTTAAATCATTGCATTCTGATTTTAGATAAACATTCTCATTAGTCAAAATATGATTTTCTTTAAGCAAGGATTTATTTTCCTTTCAATTCAATTACTTGAGAATTAGAAATAGTAGAAGAATTAAAATCAGAAATTTCTTCAAGTAATTTTTTATTTTCACCTTTAAGAAATTTATGTGAAACCTTTAATCTCAAAAATATTTCATATAATTCATTGAAAGCATCTAAAAGCTCTTCATTGTCACTTACTTCATCTTGTGCCATAAAACACATATGAGCGCTTTCATTTTCTTCGATTTCTTCATCCGTAGATGAATCATCATTATCATCCCATGTAGCCGTCAAAGCATTCCTTTTCTTGTTGAATTTTATAGATTTTGACTTTGATTTTAGAAGGGGATAATCATTCTTGATATGTCCTGGCTTATTGTAACCATAACAAATAAAATTATTGTTAGTATCTTTAACATTACTTGTACCTTCATAAGTTACCTCGAGTGTGTGCCAAATATCATATGCGAATGTGACCGTTGATACCCTATTAAACTCAATTCTTGTCAAGAGCACAAAATAAGACATTCATTGCTTTAGAATCCAAGTTTGTATTGTTCCTTTGAGATGCAGTCCATTCCGTGAAAGGAGTGGTTGGCTTCTCATATTTTATTTCCACAATGTTCTAAACTTCGTAGCAAATTGATTGGAGATAGATTTTCTTCCGACACTAACAATAGTTGTAATTTAGTCCATCAAACATTGGTGGATGATTTGTAGAATGTCCTTCTTTGAATTGTAATGTATTTGTTGATGTCATCTTTTACCTTGTTTTGGTACCAATCGTAGGGTCCTGTTTTTGCTTATGTATACCAAGTGTAGGATCATGACCCTTAAGAATAGAGTGCGTGCTTATAAAAATCTGCGGAAGCTTTACACTTAAACATTAGAGGGTGAGTTTACAAAGTAGATTATAAATTGCAAAGAAAGAATGACAATCTCAGAAAATAAATATCACAAACACAAGCATGTATACTGGTTCCACCTCCCCGGTGTATATCTAGTCCCCAAGCAAATCCCGCTTGAGAGTTTCAACTATTATTTTGAAACCTTACAAATCAAAAGCAAACCTGACCAATTTGTAACACTATGCAAATTGCAACCCAATTGACAAGACCATGCCAATCATCATACCGATCTCTAGACTAAGAGATCAACCCTCTCAAACCTGAGAGAACCTTCCTTGAATCAATGTACAATTCCAATCCTATAAGCATTGATGTGGATGTGAACGTGTAACAGTGACTTATCAATCTTTTTAACACTCTGAATATTGCCTAAACAAGCTTTAAGAATGATAGGAATAAAATCAATATCAGAAACTCTCTTTTATGGAAAAACAGATCAAAAGAACTGAAAGTTTAGAGAGTTAATTTACACAATATGTGAATCTTACAAGTACAAAACTTGGTGCTTGTTTTCTGATGTTTAAACCTATTTATAGCCTCTGAAATGACATACTTTTAAACCCAATTAACATCCACAAAACGACTATAAACAGTCACTTATTCAAAACCTGAAATCTGAAAAAACTGCATCTGTAGTCGATTACAAGTCATAGTAGTCGACTACACTGAGTCTAAACAGACAAATCTGAAAAAACTGCATCTGTAGTCGATTACAAGTCATAGTAGTCGACTACACTGAGTCTAAACAGACTCTGTGAAGTCAGAAATTACAAGTCATAGTAGTCGACTACACTGAGTCTAAACAGACTCTGTGAAGTCAGAAAATTGCTTAGTAGCCGACTACAAGGCATAGTAGTTGACTATATTGTAAACTCGCAGATTCTGGAATTTTCTTTTCAGTATTTTGACTGCAACTTTCTCATCAAATATCGGAATGAGGTGATTTAAGATTTGTTGGAAAGCTCTTGAATAGACCTATAATTTTGATCTTTTGAGTTTTTCCAGATTCTAATTGTTAAGAGGTATAAATGAAATGTTTTAAGACTCACTTAATATTTATAAACTCTAATGGCTAACATAGGGGTTTTTATTGTTAACCAACACACTTAGCATGTGTTAGTGTGTTCTAACACTATGCGTGTGCATGTGTGTGATTGATCAAGGCTTGTACAAATTTCTAAGCAAAGAAAATGTAAAATTACATTTTGACGATAAAGTATATCTTCTTCTTTGCTTCATACTCATCTATGTCTTGAGTATCTCTTTGAATATAATTGTTGATATAGCTCTGATACTGCAAAACAAATGTTAGCACATAATACATACAACATATAATATTTGTTATCATCAAAATAAACTAATCTTGAGGTCAAGATTCCTATCATATTTTGTTTATGGATTGACAAATATCTCTCTTTGGCTGCATTGTCAGTTACTACCATAAACTGTAGATTTCTTATTGGTGTCATTTGAACAAATTCTATTCTTTCTGCATATGAGAGCTATTTTGTCAATAAGAGAATTAGTATTACCAAGTAATATAAAAACAGCAGCGGAAATGATACTTGAGAGTAAACCGGTATAGCTTTTAAAAAATGATAATTGAGAGTAAACTGAGATAGTTTCTTAAAAGTGACAATTGAGTATACACTGAAACATTCTAATCTTTTGTTCAACTTCCAGGTCCAGGAGCTAATGCAGGAGAAGGGGCTTATGTACAACAAGTTGAAGCTGGAACTGTTGCTAAAGATTGCTTACTTGCAGCGCTGAGAGTTGATCCTAAAGCTGGCCCATTATGGGTGAACCTTGCAAATGCATACCAAGTGGTCGGTGATTATAGGAATGCAAAGAAGTGCTTAGAACAGGTATAAACTTTTCTTCTGTAAAGTTCCTTAATCCATGAACATTTGCTTAATATTATTGGAGAAAACTGATAATTGGGTGTTGATACCGAATGTTATTGGTAATAAGTCCTGATAAGATTTTGGTCCATCGTTCATAGCTCTGGTTAGTTGGGTTCTAGAAACATGGTGGAGCACCTTATTTTTTCTCTGCATCTTTTCCACCTGCTTACTAAGTTTTATAAGATGTAGAACTTGGTCAACATCATGATAGTTATAACATTTGTTTATTTGTGGGATATCTGACAAATGTTATATTCTTTATCTTGTTATGCAATATAGTTCATTTGGTATCTATGCAATGGAAGTTTAAGCATGAAATTTATTCCTTAGGCTTGAATATCAGGAGAGTTTGTTGTCCTGGTCCTTAGATTTTTGTTGCTACATTCTCATGTTTGTACAGGCAGCAAAGCTAGAGCCAAATCAAATGTCTGCTCGTTATGCTGTTGCCACTCATCGAATAAAAGATGCTGAAAGGTCTCAAGATTGTACAGAACAAATTTCCTGGGCCACAAATGAAATGATGTCAATTTTAAAGGAAGGCGATCCTGCTGTAATTGATCTTCCTATAGCATGGGCGGGGCTAGCAATGGCTCAAAGAGCTCAGCATGAAATTGCAGCAGCATTTGAGACTGGAGAGAAAGATTTGGAAGAGGCAGAAAACCGAGCTCTTTATGCATTAAAGCAGGTGACTCTTGTATTTAGCACATTAAAAGGTTACTCAATAATCATATCATGAAAAAGCCAATAAACTATTCCCTTGAAGCTATGTGTCTTTCAATTGTTTTTGTCATTTTTGTGCTTCGAGTAGACAACCATCTTTCATTTTCTTAAACTTTCTTTTGGGAAGAGTTTACTTGAAATACATGAATTAGTTCCTCGGAAGATGATATGTATGCTGTAGAGACTTGCACGCTAAGATCCAAGATAAGCCAAAGTGCCAAATATAATACATTTGATGAAGTATTTAACTATATAGTATGTCATGTATTCTTTGTTGCAAACATCAGAAAACCCTGTTTATTCATGCAAGGCCAAATGTGGGAATATTCGGACTGGGGATTGATCGGGGTGTTTAAAACCACGTGGCCTGCAACTATTGCATGTATTTTGCTACTTTATCTAACACGTGTTGTATGCTTGTACAATATGAAGGTTCTCTTTCTTGTTCTTATTATAAGAACTCCAATAAATTCCCATCAACTGATGTTAAGTTGTCAATATAAAGATGATCATTCAAGAAGTCATCTTCACATTAGGCTTCAGAAGTGCATAGTGTCTTTCACATGACTTCCATGTTGAAGTTCTGCATTCCTTGTTTCTCCATCTCTTATCCTACACGTGTTTGTTGGTTTTGATAGGCAATTGAGGAAGATCCAGATGATGCTGTGCAATGGCATCAACTTGGTCTACACAATCTATGTACTACACAGTTCAAGACATCAGTGAAATTCTTAAAAGCTGCAGTAGCTCGATGCAGAGAATGCAGTTATGCATGGTCGAATCTCGGTAATCATTACTTTTTTATTTTTTCCATCAGATATTCCTCTTTATGTGGGGTATCAATTGGAAAACTGGCAAGTATTCATAACTACATGTTGTAATCTCAGTAATCATGGCGTTTCCTTTTGCCATCTGGTTTTCTTTCACGGAATGTGTGATAAGCCAGAAAGATTCTGTTAAGGGTGCGGGAATTTCAATCCTCACTTGCGAACCCCTCTCATCTAAATAAGTAAAATGAAGGAGTTTCTTTCATCTGTATTTCTCCTGGAAACCATACTAAGTATTTTTCTTTTGACACATTTATGCATGTGCAAAGTGTGTGGTGGGTACGTGTGTGCAGGCGGGTGGGCCCGGGTGCGCGCGCGCATGTGGGTGTGTGGGTGCGCGCATGCGTGCGTGAAACTTAACATTATAGCAAGGCGTGCTGTTTGTTAAAGTTTAAGATTTAACAAGGTGCAGTCATTGATTGGGCTCCAACACTGATATCTTTGTTTAAAGCATGATAGTTAATCGAAGAACTTGGTAATCTAAATTTTGACCGGAGAATTGATCGTTTTATAACTTATGCTAATGGTTTAATAATCTGAAATCTGATGAAACCGTGTTTGAGATCATGAAAGTGACTGGGGGATTCATATTATCTAATTATTTCATACTCTAGAGATATGCCTACAAAATTTGCTGTTAAATGCATATTATCTTTCTATGAACCTTTTCCTTATAGATTTAATGACTGTTAACCAATATCATAGTTGAGAAAACCATAATGGGGATGATCATTGATTATTTCATGTTTGTTTTAGAATGTGTCTATATAATATGTGCTATCAAATATATATTTTCTAAGGGTTTTTTTGCTGAGAGATTTTGTCACGAGCCTACCAGCTTAGTTGTTTCTTGTGTGAAATGAGTTGATGAAAAATGTAGTTTCAGCACCTTTTGAATGCACATCACTCAAGGATCTCTTGGTCTTTCTTCTCCAGGTATTGCATTGCAACTATCCGTCGACCCATCTTCAGCTGAGAAAGTATACAAGCGTGCACTCTTTTTAGCAACAACTCAGCAGCTACATGCTATCCTTTCTAACCTTGGAAATCTGTACCGTCAGGAGAAAAGATTTGAACATGCAAAGGAAATATTCCGAAAGTCTCTGGAATTCTGCCCAGGATATGCACCATCGCTCAACAACCTGGGTCTTGTGTTTGTGGCTGAAGGCCGATGGGAGGAAGCCAGAAACTGTTTTAAGAAGGCTCTGCAATCGGACCCTCTCCTTGATGCTGCAAAATCAAACTTGATGAAAGCAATGCCAATGTGTAAGATGCGTGGGGAAACAATCTAAAGCTCCGGTCCCCAAATCATAGACAAAGGTTAACCTAGTCTTTTCCAGTCTGAGATCAACAATAATACATCACCTGCAGACTGCTTGGAATTAGTTTAGCATATCGCTTTAGTAACTTCTTTTTTTTTGGTTTGGTGAAAGAACTTATCCACAATTCTTCGGACCACGGGTATCAAACCCACGGGTGTAGCTAAGCCCTAGTGCATTTTGGTTTATACTACAACAGCCTGCTTCCCAATGATTTCATATCCTTTAAAAATTCTGATCGTTAAAACTTAGCAACGCTATCCAGAGTACAGTTTCCTTAAAGGTCCATAGATGAGGAGAAGTTTGGTAACTATTGCCATGAACAAGGCTGTATTGATGCACATTAAGATTTATTGGCTTTAGATGTAAACTTCTTAGAGTTGGAAATCTTGTAAACTGTCTGAATTCAGGTTCTTGTATATTTGTAAAATAGAAATGAGACCACTCTGTTATTATAGCATGTATGTACATGTAAATCTGAGTTTCAACTCATGAGCATCCTTACGACAAATTGGAGGTCATATTTTATTGTGTATGGTAGTCCTTATCGCCTCTCCTCATCCACCTTTTGAAAAGAACCTGAGGCCTTATATTACTGACTCAAATGACTGCTTTACCTTATCTTGGTGCTGTCACAGCTGTTGGAAATAATTTTGCAGACGTTTCCTCTAGAAGTCTGCACGACTGAAAATACATATGATCCTTCGCTCAGCTTGTCTTGGCCAGTGGGGAAAAGGTTCGCTCAACTTGACTTGACTCATTCGGAGTCTTATTACTCTATTTGAAAGTAATTTTTTGTCTCTTTAGGGCCCATATCCATATTCAGCTGCATTTTTTATCTATTGAAACTTCTTTTTTCATGTTTAAAGTCCCAGTCAGTCATGCTCTTGTTGCAATATGGGTCTCATTTCTTGAACAGTTCAATAATTTTTTTTTAAAAATATTTATGACATTAAAAGTACTAAGAGAGTATGTTTCATGACTACTTTTTCTTATACCAACATTATTTTGCAGAACTATCTTCATTAGGTTTGTCTGTTGTATGGTATCAGTACTGTATCGAGTAGTTTATGTTAGCGTATTGGTTATATGGTGTGAATTAAATACTAAGAAATATAATCTAAGCCTAGATACAGGTGATTATTTAACGAAGCTGTATGTTGTTGGAACCTGGAAGTTGCATCTAATCCGCAAAGCCAAGATACAAGTGATTATGTAAAGAAGGAGCAAACACCAACTTGTATGAGAGCAGATGCCAACTGAAACCTGGCAGCTGGTATGTTGAGAAGAAATCATCAATTTTATTTCTGTGGTTCGTTTATATAGGAAAGTTAAATAGACTAGCCTTTTCTCCTTACTGCTGTTGATAGTAAATTTAAGATTTTTCTTATTTCCCTGATAGTATCTAGCTTTTAGTTCATTTCTTTAGTTCTTATCATTTTATTTTGATGGTTGCTTGGTTTTGCACTGAAAAACAGTTTCAGTCGACTTGTAGATGAGTAAATTGTTTCTTTGTTATACAAAGCTGACTAACTTTTAAATAGACATTTTTAATTCATGAATTTCAGTATTGACCATCTGTAGTAGTCTAGTTGATGCAACAATTCTTCCATCTAGATGTTAATTATTGGTTATCTTGATTATACGACTAGATTTTATTTTATTTTAATTTTCTTTTTTACTTTTTCAGTAAATGTGAGAACTGTTAATTTACTTACGTAGCTTTCCTCTTCTCTCTTGATAAGACTCACGGTTCAAACTCTCTCTTCGAAGTATCAAACCTTTGAACCCTATACAATTCCAGAACATTCTAGCCAATAATTGTAAATTTACGTTGCACTAGATTTCAGAATATTGTAGGTCATAATTGTAAATTTGGTCCTCATGCTCAAACGTCACATAACACCAAAGGTGATAAGAAATAGAGTTTCTAGTATCAAACATGAGGCTGATATCCTTCCTCTGGCTACCAATATGATAAGGTGAGAATCCAGCACACTTATCCCATCTATATTCCTTTTCCTAACTCCTCTTCAATCACCATACATCCCACTAACTCTCTTCAAACCCCTCCAAAGTTCCTCCATCCAGACCAAAGGCAGTCTCCAATGGCAACCATTTCCTCCATGGCCATTCTTAATGCCAAGTGCATGAGCATCAACTCACCACCAAAGCAATCAATCACAAAACCAATCTCCCTCCTCTCCCTTAACAACCTCCCCAAAGGCCTCTCGATCTCCAAACCTAACCCGAGAGCAGCTGCAGCCATTGCTGGAGCAATCTTCTCCACTCTGAGCTCCACCGATGCAGCCTTTGCAGCTCAGCAGATTGCTGACATAGCTGAAGGAGATAACAGGGGACTTGCTCTCTTATTACCCTTAATTCCCGCCATCGCTTGGGTTCTCTTTAATATTCTTCAGCCTGCTCTTAACCAACTCAACAGGATGAGGAGCAAGGGGATCATTGTTGGGCTTGGTGTTGGTGGAGGTTTGGCTGCTGGAGGTTTTATGATGCCAGGGAGTGCTAATGCTAATGAGTTGGCTTTGATTGCTGACGCTGCTGCTGCTTCTTCGAGCGATAGCAGGGGATTGCTGCTGCTGTTTGTTGTTGCTCCGGCGATTGGATGGGTGTTGTACAATATTCTCCAGCCTGCTTTGAACCAACTTAACAGGATGAGATCTGGGTGATTTGTGTTTATTTGGAGTCACTGAATAGTGGCAGTATTTGTTACTCATCAATTTTTTTCTTTTTTGTTGTTGTATGATTATATACTGTTGCAAGGTTATGTGGTTATGATCTTCAATATATGTATGACTGCTCGAACCATGTTTGTGTTGGAACATATGAGACTGTTGTTGCAGCGTTTATTCGTTTTTGTATTTAATTCAAAGAAATTGGGTTTATTTGAATCCATCACAAGATGTTTCACATACCGTGAAATGAGATTGCCAGAAATGTGATGTGTTGTTGCTCTGAATCTGGCATGAGCTCAGATTTGCGCTTTTGGCGTAGCATTCACTAATAGGAGGTCTAGGTGGTATTTGGTTGATTAGGAGGGCTGCTCAAATATATCTATTGATTCTGCATGTTGGGATTCTAAGCAATAATAAACTTATTTCTGCCCGTGGGTGATCCGGACAATTGAGAATTACTTCCCTGTGGATGGCCAGTACGCTTTTCTGTGGCTAATGTCAACAACAAACCTAGCAAATCTCCCAGTTAAAGAACATTTGGGCTAAAAGCTAATATAAAGATGAAGGATGAATTTTTGGAATAGATCATTTGAAAAACAAAATTATTAAAATTTTGACCTACTTGCAAAATATTTATCAAGATCGACCTAGTTTCAGCCACATCACCAAGACTAGGTTGATTTTGGTAAAAAATGTTTCCGGACTCCACGGATTGACAATCTTGTAATGTTTCCGGTGTTGCTTCAGTTTCTTCTTTTACATTTTGGGAGACCGGTCCTCATTCATTTCAATTTTAAAGTTATTATTTATTTGAATGCTTTCTCAATT